TCAAAAACCGATGTATGGTTCTAGAGATAGCAGTGGAACAGTCGGACACACATACACACACACACACACACGCACACACACACACACACACACACACACACACACACATACATACATACATACATACACACTAACTGCAAAGACTCCCATTTTGTGCTTCGCACATGGGAGTCAAAAATGACCCAAGCATGCCTGAGAAATAGTTTGGTTTTTTTTTTAGTTTTTTTCTTGTGTCAGACATTGAATGTCACTGTCTCTTCTGACTTTTTTTTTTGTATGTGCAAATTGCAAGTGCTGGTGCTGACTCATTTTTGACATTTTTGCCACAGAAGTCATATTCATGTTTAAGACTACATGACAGGGCTGTGCGGCCATCTTCCTATCAAATGGCGGTTTAATGCGCTATCCTGATGTCAACAAGGCTCGGTCGAACACAAGCACCTGCGCACCTTAACCAAGGTTCTCTCAAAGTCGCATTCGATAGTGGAATTGGCGTTCCCACTGAGTCTGTGGCACACTCACCCAGGGTAGGGGTCGACTCTTTTGATGTTCAGCCTGAGGTAGGATTTGAACTTGAGTCTATCAGTCAAACGTACTATTGTACTAACTTTGAACGAAATCAGCCATGGAAAAGATATTTGACAGAACCCAAAACTTAAGTCCCAGATTCAGAATATGTCCATTATTTTATGCACACCAGCAGAGATCAGATTATTAGTGGTGGATGGAAGGAATACTAAAAATAATAGAATGCTGTAAGTTATGTCTAGTCTCACCTCAGTGCCTTCGTTTTCTACGTAGCTGTGTACATTTTCCACAAATCTACCCACACTGCGAACAACTTTCTCTGTTGCCTGCAATCTCCTGGTCTTTGTCATACTGTGTACAAACTCTCTTATGCTTGGAATCTGAGTATCTTCCAGTCGTGAATACACCTGTAATAATGACAACTGGCTCAGTTAATATAATCACCAGACACGTCTGTTTCCATAGTCACTGTGATTTGGCAGAGTGAAGCGAATCATGTCTATTACAAGACACACTGTGTGATTTGTTGTCATACTCAGTGATTTGGCAGAGTGCAATGAATCATGTTTGTAGCCATACTTACCGTGGGTGCTCCATCTCTTGCAAGCTTTCCTCTCAATTTAAGATACTCAGTAGAACTGACTGTAAATACTTTAAGACTCTCCACAGTCTTAATCAACTCCTCGTCATCATCTCCATCATCCGAATCAAAATCCAGACTTTCATCTAATTCATCATCTACATCAGCAGTCGGAAAACCTGCTTTCTTTTTTATTTCCTAAAAAAATTCAGTAATGAACATTTTGCAATGAATGTATTGCTTTTAATTACATGTATTAGCTAGCATAGAATAACAGTGGATGATTTTTTTGAGGTACAAGAATCCGAAATATCATGGAAAATGGTCAACATTTTAAAACTGGTTTCTATAGTGAGATTAGTAATTCATATCTCAAAATTTTGCTCAGTGACACGGGATGAAAAAGCCATATAATAGTATTGATATGAAAACTAACATTATGAAATCATTTGAAATAATTGACATCTATATCTACCATAATATGTTGCATATACAGTACAGTTCTCGCGGAAGCTTTGGCTTCACTTCAGCTTCACCTTCGCTTCAGCATCGAATCATTATGGCATTGTTATGGCTTCAGCATCGCTTCAATGTCGCGACATTAAAAAGTTAGGCGGTTATCGCTGCGCTTCATTGTGGCCTCATTATGGCGACAATGTGGCATCAGCATCGCTTCATCAAACAAAGAAGTAAAGAACTCATTTCGCCCTCTCGCCCGCTTCCACTTTTCAATCGCTTGCTTTTGCGACCGCTTGTTGAATTTCCGCTTTATTTTCGACTGTGCAAAAATTCGGACTACTAACAATTTTCTGGTTTTCATAGATCACGGTTACTAGTTTAGTAACCGTGCATAGATGTTAAACACCCGTCAAAAGTTCAAATACTTTTTGTTTTAACTATCTATAATTATATGCACGCAATCTGACCCTTTGACCTAGATTTGGCTGGGATTGACTATTTTATTTTAAACAATATTCTGACGTGACGCACTGCTACAAAATGTATTTCAACAGAAATACGACATGGTTGTCCGGGTTTCTTTTCCTGACTGTGTTGAGTTTACGATTTGTATAATTATTGTTATTTCCCCCAAGGAGAACACAAGAAAAGGACCATGAAGCTAAATAGAAGTCCCACGCATGGACTGAGTGAAAGAAAATATTTCTAAGGCTAAAATAAAATCTATATCCCTTTGTGTATTTGTCAATTTTGCATATATTTGTGTGACAGTATGTTCGTAAATATCTGGAAAA